TATATTTACAACATAGCTGTCAACATCTCTTAAACAAAAAAAAATGGACAAAAATATATTTTTGTGGGGGCTCAAATTTTCGAGTTAGTAGTTATGGCATTTACCAATGATTTTGTTCAAGGATCGGAGACAACATTACGTGTGTAGTGTGAGCATGGATAAGTGTATGGTAGACTGTAATGCTGTTTTGAGTAAAGGTCTGTTCCAGGGTGCTAGTCATCTGTTGAACAACATGGGGGTTTAAGTTGTTCGTCCGAGGAAGTTTTTAGATGTCTCGGATAACCGTTAAAATTGAGCCCTATCCACAAGAGAAATGTTGGTACAATCCACCAAAAAGGGGTGAAAACATTAGGAAAAGTTCGCTTTAGTGATTGGCTAATATTGCTCCTTTAGCTCTCTAATTATTTGCTCTCTAAATAATTGCTCTCTAAAATTTTTATTATGGACAAGTTGAGATAGTTTGGTTGTTATAACACATTTCAATTCTGTTGCAACATCTAAAACACTAGACAAAATAGCATTATGTTAAATAAAAAAAAAAAGAAGTTTAATTACACCAACAGCAACATGTTGTATTTCATCCTTCAATGCAGTTCTGAATGACAGTAACTGTGCAGGAAAGTCTGAAGATAAATCTGTTTTGTACTGAACTTCTACAGGGATTCAGCTGATTCAAATACTGCAGCATCATTAGCACTAAGAATCTCAAAAGGAGACATAAAAACTGCTACACTATAGTGTTTATGTCACAGAACTGGATTTTCAACTGAATAATAACAATATAAACACAGGTTTAGAACACAGATATCTTAAAATTTTCCTCAGATAACAGTTGGTTTATTTACCAATACCAGTATAGTCCTTTGATCTCATAGTCACCATAAACCCAATAGAATTAGAGACATTATAAACAAGAAAGCAAGCAATACATACTACAAGTAGGTATTGATTTTCCCATGCATTTCTAAAAAAGATTGACAACCAGACACACAATGCAATGGCTCATTGTGCAAATGATTGTACTGACTGGTGTTACTTTCCCGTTTGTGACACTTTATTGGTAAGAATGGAGAAACTGCTGACAGATAATGTCTAAGGTTTTAGTGAAATGTAACCTGAATACATAAACATGATTTATTCAGCACTAACTTGATACAGTAAAATGTAGTCCTTGATACAGAACTGTATAACATTCTCAAATTTATACTTCAGTTGTCCACAGTGAAATGTAACCTGAATACTTAAACATGATTTATTCAGCACTAACTTGATACAGTACAGTGTAGTCCTTGATACAGAACTGTATAACATTCTCAAATTTATACTTCAGTTGTCCATAGTGAAATGTAACCTGAATACATAAACATGATTTATTCAGCAGTAACTTGATACAGTACAGTGTAGTCCTTGATACAGAACTGTATAACATTCTCAACTTTATACTTCAGTTGTCCACAGTGAAATGTAACCTGAATACATAAACATGATTTATTCAGCACTAACTTGATACAGTACAATGTAGCCCTTGATACAGAACTGTATAACATTCTCAAATTTATACTTCAGTTGTCCATAGTGAAATGTTTTCAGATTATCACTGTGGACAACTAAAGTATACATTTGAGAATGTTATACAGTTCTGTATCAAGGGTTAATGCTGAATAAATCATGTTTATGTATGCTGTTTATGTTTCAGACACAAATTAGTAGTATATAATTGCAGATGTAATTATTTTTTTACTTTTTTCTTTACATTTATTTTGGCCTTTGATTATAAAGTCACTGAAAAAATATATTTCTGACTTTTAAATACGGCAGCATCATTAGCACTAAGAATGAGACAACTAAAAACTTCTTTGGATGAACAACTTAAACCCCCATGTTGTTCAACAGACGACTAGCACCTTACTCAAAACAGCATTATAATCTAAACTCCCAATTTATTATTGTTAAGAAAGTATAAATATAATTAATGCTATATTTAAAAACAAAACCTATGTATTGTTTTAAACAGTCTGAACAAATACAATTATGAAATATATTTAACTCCCTGTTATTGCAGGTTGAATATTAATCGTAACAAGTGTTGAAGTAGAGCACTTGCTTATAGTCAAGTTGTTTGATATAATTACTAAATAATATATTTCTTTAAATAGTCGACTTTTCACAATGATTGACAAAAATAATGATCAGTTTACTTACCTCCTTTTCTGTAAGAAACTTTTCCAAAGCTTCATCCTTTCCAAATATATGATGAGATACTAACAACTTCACATAGCTATTTAAAAAGAATTAGAATTGTTAAGAAGGTATAAATACAATTAATGCTAAAGTTAAAAACAAAACCCCATGTATTGTTTTAAACAGACTGCACTAATACAATTATGAAATACATTTAACTCCCTGTTACTGCATGGACAATTATAGTACCTGATTTAAAAATGTTAAACATGGGTGATTTAAAACCTGTGTCCTTATATTAGTAGAACTTGAATTAAATACCCAGTAATACAAGCCAATTTTTTAAAAAGTTCGTAAGACAAATCCCGCCTCTTAATGAATGAAAAAATAAGGATCACAAGAAGAATAAACAGAAACTTAACAAGTTAATAGAAATTGTATACACTTACATGTTCTATAGTTACATATAATTAGCCATTCGTGCATACAATTAATCTTAACAGCTTAACCCTTCCATTACGGGTTGGTTGGAATCCACCCAGCTTATAACCATGAAAGTATCAATGAGAGTAATTATACTATGATTTTTTATAATATAAGCATATCTTTACAAAATTTTGCAGGTTATTGGTAAACATTACAAGGTTTTTATACACAAAATATCATGTTTTTAAATTAATTAACAAGATTTTATAATTAAAGATTTTCTCGTAAATCTTTTTCTTTCAGAATGTTGACTATCTAATATGCAAAGGAATTTTGATTTTAAGATTAAAAATACTTTAATCCATTAGATCATCTTCAAATTTCACATTCAAAATCTTTATAATCTCCAGATAATTATCACATTTTTTGTAGAAAAAAAACATTATATTTTATTTGTTATTTTCACTACTGTATTTCTGTATGGGTTGGTTCGATTTGACCGACTTTGTAACCTCAATATAAAATTAGGAAAAAATATAAATTATGCTTTTTTTGTTCTAGAATGACTACAAATTAGAATGCAAAAACACAAATTTTTAGTCTGAATAGCTTAAATCTCATAACATTATACATCTATATATATATATATATATATATTATTATATTGATCTT